CAGAGGTATTTACCAGAAGTCAACTCCCACAGGAGACAATACAAAGGCTACGGGCCTTAAATGAGGTACAGCTTGTGATAGGAGGAAGAACTATACAGTCCACACACACACACACACACACACACACACACACACACATATATGAAGTCATGTAGAGCAGGCCTCTGTCCCAGGGACGTGTCCATGGGGGGGGGTGTGGGGTGGGGGGTTGAGAGGTTCTCCCAAAACCAGGTTAGCCGCTGTCACACGCACAGTGGAACTGGCAACTGGCACAATGTGCGTTAGTCAGTGGCTCACCTGCTTTCAGATGTGTCCACGTTTCCCCCCCCCCCCATGTCAGATGCGCGAGGAGGGACAGTCTGTGGAGGGACGAGGACAAAGGCTGTGGAGTAAAACAGTCATGGATCAGACGTGAGGACTGGAGGTGCAGTGTGGGAAAACCTCAATCACAGAAAAGATGATTATCTCAATGAAATCGAGAATTAAGAATTGAATCCGTTGAGCCCTCTGATGTCCACCACTGTTACAAAGTGTTCCTTCAGAATTATTTAGCACTGCTGCCTCCCACTACACGACGTATAGATGTCCCACTGTCGACACACAGCACAAAACGCTTTCATTTCAATTGTCACTGAAAATTTAAAAATTAAAAAAAAAAAAAAAAAAAGTTAAAGCACAACAACAATTATTTGACACGTGCGGAGGAAACAGATAAAAAAGAAATAAAAAAGCAGCACGTGTGATTTACAGTGTGTGGCCTGTTCATCTCCAGCATATAGAATAAAGAGGAGCTACTTACCTCTGCCAAGTTTTCTTTTGCAACAATTTTTAAAAAAAGAGAAAAAGGACATGTTTCATTTCAGCTCACAGGAGAATATCTGAGAAACATCACAGCTCCCAGATCAGTTTTCCCCCTGAAAGCATGGACATGTTGAAAGTTAGGTGCACGATAAGAATAAATAGTCTCCACCGACGCTGAAGTTCAGTCCACTTGCACTAACCCCTTCCCTGCCCACTCCCCTGCGTCTGCAACCCCACCTGCTTATGCAAAGCACGGGGGGGGGGGAGCGGCAGCAGAAGCGGCCAATGGGAAGCCGAGCTGAAGCAGAAAGACCCGCCTCCTGGAGATGATCAGCGAATGGGAGCGCGAGGGAGGCGGGGGCTTGTGTCGCCAGCACGCTTGGTTGACTGTGGGAGTTATAGTTGGGGTGCGGCGCGTTCAGTTCTGCACGTCGTACATTAGGAATGAACCATTCCGCCGTCAAGTGTTTCCGGTCCCCACGCGCTCTGCGGCGAACGCATCCCCGACACGCGGGTTCCATCCGCCGTGAATAGTCGCCCCGTGATGCCACAGCTGCAGCCGGGGGAGGGTGAGGGGCTCCGGGGGCCGCGAGGACCGGAGGACGCCCCCCCTACCCCTCCAGCGTGGAGTGGTTGAACTCTGTGTACAGTGTTGCCATGAGCCGAGTGTGGCTGTGCACGTACAGAGGATGCAGCATGACAGTGTGATCTGATGAGGAGGAGGTGGAGGAGGAGGAGGAGCACTGATTTATTTGCAGGCTCCTCACATTATTTACTAATTACAATGAATGAATTCCAAGCACATTAACAACAGCACGATGCAGGGAACAAAACAATAATAGAAAATGAATCTGAAAGTACAAGTGTATTGTAAATTAAAATGTGAAGTTTACACTGGGTAATGCAGAGCTAGTGCCTATAAAAGTAGAAAATAAGCAGAGAAACAAATGTGACAGTGAGTAGAAGTGATGAAGGGTTTAGTAATATGGATTATTGCACATATAGTGTTGAGCAGTGACACAAAGTGACAAGAAAACTATTTAAAAGTATAGAATAAAAGAGTTGGAAGAAATAAAAATGATAAATCTGTAGAAATAAGTTGAAATAGAAAAATAATAGAAATAAAAGAGATAGAACTGTGTAAAAAATAATAATAGAAATAGAAAGAGAATACAATACAGTGATGGCATTATACAATAGCTTAGTTATACGTTTTCAAGCTGGTTTTAAAAACTGCAATGATAGAACATTCCCTCCATTTCTCAATTAAGTTATATAAATTAGAAATACCACATATTACAGTTTTCCTAGCAATACATTAGAGTCTCATCGTGTTAATTACAGTAAAATAAATGTTGCTTTAAAATAAAGCTATAGACATAAATAACTGATTGACCCCGTTTCCCATGTCAGCTGGAACAAAATGTTCTCTCTTTGTTCCTGTGATGTTTTCAAACTTCTTTTCAGGTTCGGACCAGCCAATCTCACTCTCACCATTTCTGTTTCTGTAGCTGTCGACGCCCAGTGGGATTATTCACAGCCAGGATACACATAACCTCTGGACAAAAACTAACAAATCAGGATTACATTGTGTTATGTAACACTTTTTTATTGTGATTGGTTGAAGTTGCCACTAGGGGGTGACAGTGGTAGTTGATTCTGTGTTGGCATGCTTGTGGTTTAGTGACAGTATCTTAACACCCAGGGAATAAGTATTGTATGTATTAAATGTAATGATATAACAGTTATAAAACTAATAATATTAATTATAAATTTAGGGTCAACTAATGTCAAATAAAATCTTGGAAACAAGTGATAATTATTGAACAGTCGTTATTTCTCTTTAATTCCTGCCTCTAAAACATTTTTTTCCCGGGAAACTTACCTGCACGCCCGTTGATTTGGACACAAACTAACACAAAGTGCTGGTTAAACCACTGAAATGAACTTTACATATATATATTTTGTCGATACCAGACGTGCTGATCTGAGTAAATGTCAAACTGATCACCTGGGATTTACACACACACACAATCACTCTTCTGCAGTTTTTATTTTCAGGTTTGAGCCAAAGAAAAGTTGGAACCGCTCTCATGTAACAACTGTGGTGAGAAGAAAAGCAAAGAGTGCACATTGAATGTTCACCAAAACCAGACAACTGAATACAAACGTAGCTTGCTCTGATGAATCTAGTGTTCTGCTGAGACATGCAGGGTCTAATTTTGGTGACATGAATCTGCCTTGTGTCAACAGTCCTGGCTGCTGTGGTGTAACCACGAGAGGAGCCAGGTCACCATCGTTAATCTCAATCAATAATCATTTCAATGCCCTAATGAGGCAAAAGACCATTTCTGAGCTGCTGGGGAAGGTTTAGTGGTGAGATGTGAGGGGGTTAGGTTATGGTTATGGTTATGGTTATGGTTATGGTTAAGTATGAATTAAACCAGTTTGAGGATGTCTAGGTTTTGGTTTGGTTGTTCACAATGAATGAAAGTCCATTAATCTCCTATTAAGGGTAGCTGTACACACATTACCTGGAAATCAATATAGGTCAATATAATGTCCTCTCTCTATGTGTGTGTGTGTGTGTGTGTGTATGTGTCTGTAATGGAAGTAATGACAACTTTTATCTTGTGTATTGATAAAGTGGAAATCATTTAGTTTATATGTGTACAACAGTGTTTATCTAATGATTTGTATAAATACTACAAGAAATACACACTCGTGACAGACAGACAGACAGACAGACAGATAGATAGATAGATAAATAGACAGACAGACAGACAGATACACAGACAAATAGATCGATAGACAAATAGATAGATAGATAGATAGGTAGATAGATAGTTAGATAGATAGATAGACAGACAGACCGATAGACAGACAGATAGATAAATAGACACATAGATAGATAGATAGATAGACAGACAGACAGACCGAAAGACAGACAGATAGATAAATAGACAAATAGATAGATAGATAGAGATAAATTATGACTCCAAATTCTGTCTTCTTCAATGTGTCTTTTACACTTTCGTTTTCATATTCAAATACATTAACATATTATTGTCAGCAATGATTTTGATAATCAATTACTGTTGCTAAGAAAAGATAAAATGATCCTTTCTTCATCTCACAATGTGGAGGTTTGCTGTGGTGCAGTAATAATAGACATAGTCAAAAAAATAGACATTGGTAAAAGTAATAAATAAGTAAACATGCAGTATAACAGCAAGGAAGTATAAAATAGAAACAGAATAGAAATTGAAACAATATATATTTAGTACAACGCCTTGTACATAAGCCATTGAATTCCACAGAGTGAGTATTAAACGGATAATAAATACTGTAAAAAATAATATCAAAGACAGAAAGTCTCCAATCTTTCAGTTTAACACCTTTTAATTAATGTGTGAATCAGTGATCCCGCCCATCCGCCTTTAAATACGGAAGTAGAAGTCGTGATGGCGCCTCCCTGTGGACAGATGGCCGCACAGCATCTGGTCCAGCAGCAGCTCTGTCTCCAAAGTAACAGCTGATCTCAGACTCTTCTCTCCTGAGAACATTCAGTGAGTCCAGCAGTCACTTCACTTCTTCTCTTTCGAGACATTTGTATGAGAGGATGTTTCACTGGTGTTTCGTATCTTAAAGAGGGTTCACTCTGCTCAAAGTCTGAGAAACCGAAAGATTTGAACAGATTAGTTTGTTGTTTATCCCTGAAAGTGTTAGTGTCTTGTTTGTTCGTTGCTCTCTGGACTCTTTATTGTATCATTCAGACTGTTTCTTTTCTCACTACTTTATATATGTACTGGGAGACACAGCAAACCGTCTTGCAACTGCACATATGGATGTGTCCTCCTGGGGGAGCAGGACTACCTGTGCAACCTACAGGTAGTGACGAGGACACAAGCAGAACACAAAACTAAAGAAGAATCAGTCAGGAAGGATAAAGAAAGAGCAGCTGTCTGTGGATATCACATGTTAAACCATCCCCTGTTTGCGGGTTGTCTTGACTTTGATTCTCCATTGCACCTGTTGTCTCTTTAATTTGCACCAAATCAGGTGAAACTGATTCGTTATCACTTGTGGTTCCTAAATGGACAGATTGATATTCCTGGAATTGAACTGACTCGCTGTTATACTGTGACGATTAAGTGTGTTAATGACCAGTCAGACCAAAACCATATATGGGAAAGAAGTCTTTATTGAAAGCATAGTTTCCCATCAGCATGAACACACCAATTCATTATGAAAATTAATGCATACTTAGATTACATAAAACAATCTTTTCATCATATGTGGGCTAACATAGTGTAAATCAGGTAATGAAGAAACAGAACAAGCATCAGATTTAGATCTTTTTCAGAAAAGACACGTACATAGATCGATGTTTTAAGCCTGAACCTCATGACTGAGTCCCTGATAATTTTCATTTAATGCAGTCTGAGGATAAAAAGACAAAAACCAATGGCCCCAAGAAGGAATATAAGAAAGTAAAAAATGTTTACATATTTGTCACATGGACAACATGTCACCTGCTGTTTGTTATATTTCCATGTGGACATCGAGTGTCAGACATGATGCAAAGTCAGAAATGCTGAAATATATGGTAACTTTAAATGAATCTAGTATTTGACAAATGGATTTTGACATGTTTATCCAGGAAGATCAGTAATTAATCTGCCTTCACGCGTCACTTTTAGAACATCACTATTGACCTAATCCTTTTGTTTATTTTGTGTTCATCATTTCTTCAACAGGGGAGTTACACCTCTCAGGTTATCTCACACTTTAATATGTGTCCGTCTGTTTTTAAGGACACCTAATAAAACAGGATTTCTTGCGGACGACCACTGTCGTGACTCCTTTCACATCCTTCAGCCTGTCAGAGTCAAAGTCCACCAGGAGCTTCCTCACCCCGACCCTCATGGGCGTGAAGGTGATCTTGACAGAAACCTTCTGGCCTGGAGCAATGTCCCCTCTGAAAGAGAAGACATGTCATGTAAAAGCAGTAACTTCAGATATAGGGAATAGGAACAATAAAAAGAAGATGATATTACATAAAAAGCAAAAAAAAAAGAAAAGGGGGTTTAGGAGGTGATTTGAAAGAAGTCACCGACTCTGCAAGTCTTATCTCAGGTAGGTCATTCCAACCCACACAGAAAAACAGTCGTGGCCCAGATTTGGCCCACGTCTCGAATTCCACATCTGTCCCACACACTGCGTGGAATTTCGAAAGCCATGTGGGAAGCCAAGGGGCTGTGATGCCAAAACCTCGGTCACCTTTCAGACTTAAACCTCGACTTTGAGGATCTAACGCTGTGAGCTAGCTCATATGGGATCAACACCTTCTGCTATTTAGGCCAAGGCAAGCTGTCAGCACTTACTTCACATAGATCTCAGAGGCAGACAGTAGTCCGGACCCCTCCACGGTGAACATGCCACGCTTCAGTGGGACAGTTAGAGGATTTGTGAAGGAGATGAAGGCTGTCACCTTCTCCTGAACAATGATGCTCCCAGGTACCTGGAGATGGAGGAGACGGCTTAGTGTTCAACTGAAGTAGAACATTACAGGAGAGGTTCTGATAAAGAAAAAACTTGTATTCGGTTACCTCCACCAAGGAGGTTATATTTTCACGATCTGTTTGATGACTCCTGTTTGGCAGATCTGGGCCACAAGCAAGTCAGGTCAATGCCACATGTTAACCAAAGGTGGCCCAGATCACCGGGTGGATCCAGGAATTTTGATAACTTTCTTTAATATTGCAACGAAGAGCATTTCTCAATATTTTCACAGATTTTCTCAGTGAAACCGTTGAAAAACAACCTATTAATTATCCGACCCAGATCCAAAATTTCACGGGTTCTTCCGTCACCCACACTGCACACCTCAACCAAGTTGCACGATGGTCTGCATGGTAGTTTTTGCATTAGCTTCCTGACAAACAAAGAAACCAACCAACAAACAAATGAATGATTGAAACCATAACCTCCTTGGTGGAGGTAAAACTGAGCAACCCTTTGACATCTGGGCCTGCACAGTGTGTACCCACCTCTACCAGGAGCTCAGGCATGCTTAGTGGAATGTTGGCCACACTCATGACGGGTTTGTTGTCCCCTGGAACCTCCATGAGCGCTTTCACCCTGATCAGATGGTGCTCAGAGACACATTTGACATAGTCGTCGTAGCGCAGACGCAGCACTTCCTTGTGGGCTGAACACAAATATGAAATATAAATGATACATCAGGAACAAGTGTGCGTCAAGGTCAGACATGGTTCTGTTGGTTCAGGGTATGTCTGTACGAGAGGCCTTCGAGGGTTTATTTGAGCAACTAACTTTTGCGAGCCGGCACGGTCACTATGGTCGCCTTCCTCTGACACTCCCCTTGATTGATGGAATTGTAGGTTATGGCCATGACCACAATTAGCAGCTGTGGACTGGTGTCTTTCTGTCCTTCATTCTTCACCTGTGGACAGAAGGGATTCATCATCAGAGAAGATCAACACTATACATCCATCCATCCAACCATCCGTCCATCTGAGCACTCATACCTCAACTATCACATCGAAGTCAGTGCCAAATACAGGTTTCCCGTGCTTGACTGACAGCTGCAGTTGTTGTGGACCTTTGTTTTCACAGATCTGCTCTTTGATTCGGTGTCCGGCCTTCTGGTACACCTCTCTCTCCTTCTTGGAGCCTGCAGAGAAGATGTTGTGATTATAAATAAAGGTTGATCAGGTTTTATTGTATGTCTGCTGTAAACCTATTGATCCTCATCCATCTACTCCTCTCTGAGCAACTTTCTGACAAACCTTCGGGGTATTTGTAGTGCAGAGTGACATCCTCCCTGTAGTCGCCATAAAGACTTTTGGTGCTGATGTTCTTCCCCACACCACTCTGGTCCACATCGATCTGTAACAAAAATAATTTTGATCACCCTCAATAAAACAATAAATCTTTTTGAAAGGACAAGACTATTAATCTAATTCTTATTTTAAATTTTCCTGACATTATTTAAAACTCTCACCTTCTTCCGTTCGCCTCCTGGTCCAGCCATCCAGTAGATGATGTCAGCGTTCACCTCAGCGAAGATAAACGGAGCGTCGTACTTCACACTCAGATTTCCCTCCTTGATGGCGGTGACTGGACACGGGCCGCAGCAATACTCACCTGAAGAGCACCAATTAGATCGAAGCAGATTTATTTTATTTTTCCTTTAAAATCAAATATTTGTGTTAACGATGACAGTTCCATGTGATTAACAGGATAGCTCTAATTGCATCATTTTACTTTTATATGATACCAAAGAAAACCAGCGCTGACAGAAACGATTAATGTACCATCACTCAGTTCTTGAGGGGTGGGGTCCAAAACTTGCCAGCCGTCATTTCCTTTAGAGAGGTCGTCTCTCCTCATCCAGGACTCAATCCAACAGTGGAAGTTCCTGATAACACGAGAAGAGGGAGATTAAAAATAACTGAATTTATTGTGTGTGTGTGTGTGTGTGTGTGTGTGTGTGTGTGTCCTACCAGCTACTGTCCTTCTTGCCAGCGCTCTCCATTTCTTTGTTCAACACGATGTCGACGGAGAGGTTTCCATCGACATCATGTGCTGAATTGAAGTTAGTGATGTTGCGTGTTGGGATTCCCAGACAACGCAGCACTGTGAAGAAAACAGCAAGACTTCAGACTGGACTATTTGTTCCTCTGTCCTTCCCTTTCCTAGGATAATGTATTCCTTTCCTTCTTTAAACAATTAAATGATTTCCTTTTAAAGAACAATTTATTCTTTTCCCTTAAAGCCTCACCTGTGCAGGCGACAGCAGCAAACACCCAGCACTGGCCATATTTGACCGCCCTGACCTCGGCCTTGCTCCACTTCCGGAGGATGGGCACGCTGCCGGTCCATCGAAGTGGTGAGAACCCGCCAGTGTATGGCTCGTGCCACTGACCAGTCAGCACACCCCTGTCACCGTTAGAGTTCACCTGGACAGGTGGGGACAAAACAAAGCTTCTTTTCTTAAGGCGGTCACTCTGCAGATGAACAGTAAAGGAAACTGTCTGGAAAATTGGTTGCACGGTTTCTTTTTTACATATGAAGAACGCAGCAGGAGATTTCCAAGTCAGACAAGTTCACAACAACTTGAACATTTCCGAAAACATTCAGGTGAGGGTTAGACACCGAATCCTGTTGTCTTTCCATGTTGACTCCTCTGTCTGCGTTTCCTACGTGTATGACGCCGTTTTCATCATGAGACATTCGTATTCTTTCACGTTTGTGTCCATCACGTGTTAGAAACATCATACGTGTGGAATTTCGGGACATTTTCCTGCTGTATATTATATCCCACTTCAATTTATTCTAATGAAAGTGCTTTAATCTGTTTCTGCTGGAAACACACACTGATATCAAGAAACACACAATCCAAGGAGTCTACAACAAAGAATTTTGACAAAGTAAAACTAAAGACGTGTTTCTATTGTTGTTGGAAGAGTGTAAAAGATCGTCACCATCGCAGTGATCATCCTGCTGACATAGACAGGGTCAGATCTCTTCTCAATGTCCATCTTTGAATTCTTCAGGGCTTCCTTGGAGTTGTCCAGAACTTGAAAACAGATGTCCATCACATAGTCCTCAAACTGAGAGAGACACACAAAAGAAAATTCAACATAAAACTTTTTCACACGTATTTTAAATGTCTGTCTTTGGGACTCTGTTGCACCAGCTCCTGTCTATGTGCCATCTATGTGTTTGCCTGTCTGGCACACACACCCCTCCGTGTTTGTCTTCCCCTCTGTGCTGCGAGGGGACAACACAGGCCCGTGTTTGTGTGGTTTGGTTACATTCTGACACCTCCTGCTCAGAAGTTTCCTCCGTCCAACAAACTCACATCCTGACCTGCGCCAGCCTCTCCGCTATCACACTGCTGTGACAATTCACACTGGGCCCCTATTGGCCTGATAGACACAGACAAACTCAATCCTGTTTGTGTGTGTGTGTGTGTGTGTGTGTGTGTGT